GGAGCCTGCGCCGCCTCTCTCGCGGCGTTCCCATCCTGGCCTGTCCCCTCCTGGCCGCCCCGAAGGGAGCCGGCCGCATGAACTTTACCCGCGCCTGCAAAATTGGCCTGAGCCCGAAACCGCGGCCGCCGCGGCCCGGGCCTGACCCCCCTGGCACAGGGCCTGGTCTCTTGGCTGCGACTTAGCACCTCTCCAGCACTTTTCTTCTTCAAAGCCTTTTGCAGACCTGCTGAGTGCGCCCTGCTTCTTACCCCTTTGGCTAGCCCCAAAGGAGGACTGACCATTGTTCAAACTATCCGTTCTCAGGTCCCTGCCCTCATTAGCCCGCCCTGACAAGGCCCTGGGGGCATGAGGTCTGGATTATCCCCATTTTATCATCAGACAGAAGAGAGGGGACTGCCCAGGTCACTTTAAAGTCAGAGGGCAGAAGAGTGTGGCTATAAAAAGTGGAGGCACCAAAGCTGCATCTTGTCTACTTAGCCAAAGAAGGGGAAAAAAGAAAAACTCTTCAGTTGTGAGCAAATCCAACAATGGGATCAGAATGTCAGAAGGGGTTTCATAGCAAACGTGGTTATCTCACCACTTCACTTAAAATGGTGGCTACTGATGCTTTGGGGGCCTAAAACAGCCCTCCAGGCGAGCCAGGCTCCATTAGCTCTTCCTATGGGAACCTAGCTCACAATGGCCAGTTGCCCCAGTCTCAGAAGGCAGTACCTTGGAAATCTGTAAACAGCCCACAGAAGAGGCTCCAGGGACTGGCAGAACCTGTGTTCAAAGACCACTACACAAGAGGGATGCAGAAAATGGGAACCATTTTCTCTTTAAAGAGAGGAAAAGCAGAGCCCAACAGGTCACAGAGAAAACGGATGCCCCTCAGATCTGTTGTCTATCCCAAGGTGTAAAGACTCCTTGAAGTTTACCAGAAACCCTAAGGCCAGGGTTTATCTGAAAAGATCAAGGCATTCACAGAAAAGCTCAGTTATCCGGATCTACAGGCCTCACCAAACCCCACAGCAGCCTTTTCTTCTCAGGCAGGCTTGGAATGCTCGGACATGGCCAGCTAGGAAAAACCAGAGGGAATTACAGCTCCTCACCAGATCCAAGGCTGCCTTGGGAAAGGCCAGGGCCAGCATCACTGACAAAGGCCTCTTTTCCTCTCAGGAGCCACAGACCAATTTCTTAGAACTTCTGGATTCCGAAGGCCCCTGGAGTTCTGACCATGTTGCAGGTCAACATAAATAAATAATCCTAAAAGGCTAAATTCATTTCTGCTCCCAAGAAAAATCCAGAATATCCTACACTACAAACCCTCCTGGTGATTGGAGAGGGGAGATAGCCTGAGCCCCTATGCTTCCCCATCCCCCAACCAAAAACCAAACGAACCTGCCAAGATGATGGGACTGGCTGGTATGGACCAGTGCCCTCTTTTCATTCACGGTCCTCAGGAGCAACAACTCCACTGGTGCATTAGGTCCTAGAAACCAAATTATAGGCTGCCTCATAAATGGAGCTTTGCTATTTAATCAACTGCCTCAGAGCTGCCAAACAGTCCTGAGTCCCGCACACAAATGAGGAATTTTTTACATGCAATTACCCTGCCATTTTCCTCAGAGCTGGGGTGTAATGGGAAACCTGGAGCCCAGTGAAAATCTGGAAGCCAGAATGGATTTGTCTTCAAGGAAAGTCCACATGGCCTTCTTCCATGGCCGTGAATATGAAAAGCGCCAAAATCCCTTCCCCTACACGTGGTCACGCTGTTTTGAAAACAGTCACCATTTTAATCTAGCAATGAGGCAAAGTGCATAAAAATATATCCACCTGGGTCAGGAGAGGTAGTGTGTTACTTCCCTACTTTTTAATTTCCTTTTTATTTTCTCTCTCAAGCCCTTCCACTCAAAGCTCAACAACGTTAACCTAAGGACTGCTGGGCTGAGGAACTTTCTTAGAAACTGGTCCATCCGCTTTCCCCAGGGGCACAGGGAACGGGAAAGGGGGAGGGGAGGAGCGGGCACGTGGCTGGCCCGAGCAGCGAGACCCCGACTCCGGGCCGTGGGTCCTCCCCTCGGTGGGTATTTTTCCCCCACAGCCCCTGCCTTTTCACCCCACACCCAGGCAGCTCAGGAATCCCGGCGCAGATTACAGGGCTAGGACAGCGCTCCCCGCACGAAAGCGCCTCTGCCACCGACAGCCTGATGGCAAATATGGACTGAATCGTTGACATGGAAACCGGACTAAAGTCTCGTTCGCTCGCTCTCACAGGAGAGTTCTTATCACCAAGCCCGGCAGAACGGCGCTCGGCAAAGGCGGACTGGATCGCAGGTCGCGCGGATCGGGTGCCGCTCCTGGGCGCCGGAACTCCGGCGACTGCCACCACCAAGGGAAGGGGGCTGGGCTGCCGGCAGCAACCGGCTGAAAATGGCAGAGGATGTGCTCTCATTTTCTCTGGCTGCACAGCGTGCAAGGATTGGGCCTGAGAATGAGGGATGAACCTAGGAAGATCCCACACAGTCAACTGCAAAATGTGGAAGCTGGGCCTGGAGGGTTTGCTAGAAGAAAGAGACGCTTGCAGGGAGCACAAGTCCTTCCTCCCTCGCAGTTTGCTCACTCTAAATGTCTGAAACACAAAACTCCTCCAACAAACAAAAGGTCGGCCTCGCCGCCTCGCAGACCTCTTTGCCCTGCTGCACTCGGGGCAGCACGTTGCTGGGAAGGGGAAGTGTTGGGCTGGATTCCGGGCTGAGGCGTGCAGAGCCGGGCTGTGGCCCCCGCACATTCCCGCCGCGGCGCCGCAGCAGACACCCAGCCGAGCGCTCTCAAGTGCGAACTGGAGCTGCGAGTTTGAGCAAAAGGGCAACTGTGTCAGTTGACGGAAGCCAGAAGCAGAGTTCAAAGCCTGGCGTGGATTTCCGTCTGGAGCTGTGTTTCTTAAAGTTTGTAACTCCGTGTGAAGAAACAGCCCCAGCCGAGGCTTTGGGATCAGTGTGAAAGTCTAGCACTACCATCTGACAGTGAGCCGCAAAACTTTGGGCTGCATATTAAGCGAGGAAAGTGGATTGAAGCTAGAGTCAAGGCAATTCATTATGCTCCCGGCTCGCAGACAGGAGCGGTAAGATATGAACTGGATTGTCGCGGGCGAGCAGGGAACGGAGTCCGGATGGCGCTCCAAAGCTCTTCGCGGTAAAATTGTGCCTGCCGAGCACCTAAGATGCCCAAAGAGCGAACCGGGAGGCTTCCAGCGTGGAGGGCTCTCACACTGATTTTCTGGATCCGTTTTCCATTTATCTCAAAGTCTTAAAACAATTTGGGAGGTTGTACATTTCAAAAATAATAAAGGACCCATTTTAAGAAATGTTCACTTCTGAATGAGACTTTTTTGTCAGCGAAGGAAAAATAGCCTTGGGCATAAATCCACCGACTTCTCTGGCTAACATAAGAATTACCTTCATCACCAGCTTTCCCCCCAAAAAAAGAAAAGTGAAATAAAAAAAGATTAATGCAATTCAGTGGTTACGGCCCTCGTTTTGCCTGGATGAAACCCTGGGGTTTGATTCCCAGAAGTGATCAAATAATAATAATGACATAAAAATAAATACAGATCTGTTCTGGTCTGTGGATGACTTCAAATAAAACATAACTCCCAAGGTCCACCTAACAGAAGGAAAACAACATCAAGTCTTTCACACCCAAATACTGTGGATAAATTTTCTGGTTCAATGTCTCATCTCACTGTTGAATTACTAACTTTTTTTTGGGGGGGATGATAATAAAACTATTACTAATATTTAAAAAAAAAAAAAAAAACGAGTTTGTGTGATTACTGGGCAGATCAGGATGGGGGGTTGTCTTCAGAAACCTGGAGGCCAGACTGGCCATGAACTTGCCTGGGTCCTCCTGCCTCAGCCCACAGCAGGATTTTGGAATTCTTGTTTCTGCAGAGTCTCACTAAAGATTTGTGTTTGCTAACTGAAACAAAAACAGTGTTTGAAAACATGTTTCCAACGAAGCTTGATGACTACAGCAACAGTCATGAAAGCAGAGATAGCCTTTCTGTACATGGCACCAACTACTAACTGCCTCTATAGGGACAGATAGCTCAACCCTGGAATAAACTGATTTTGCTTTGTTCTATAAAGCCTAGTTAGAAAAAAATTTCACACTCTTTATAACATCATTACAAGAGAGAAAGTATTAAAGCCCAGGATGGAGAAGGAAATCAGAATGAGAAATTCAAACATTCCAGGTGGCCCTCTCTCAGCCCTTCTTGCTTGTACAGCTTCCTCACACGGCCATGTTACTGAGGGGGGACCGAGTGAGGGAGTCCTCACAGCAAGTCTGGAATGGATCAGGAATGGAGTCTTCTGCTTCACTACAGATTCTATAGAAGAGAGAAAACCAGGGTGGTGGCAGAGATGCACCTGGTCTTTAATCCCAGGACTCAAACTCAGGACGTTGAGGCAGGCAGATCTCTTTGAGTTGAGGCCAGCCTGGTCTACAAACCTAGTTCCAGGACAGCCAGGGCTACACAGAGAAACCCTGTCTGGGAAATCCAAGAAAGAGAGGGAGAAGGAGACAGAGAGAGAGAAGAAAAACCCATAGAAAAAAATTGAGGGAGGAGGGGGCATGCACTCAGAAACAGGAGAGAGGTAGGTGGAAACCGACGACTCTCCACTGCTATCCTCAACACAACCACTTCAAGAGAATCCCCCACATGACACTCCCAGGCTTTTTTTTTTTTTTTTTTTTTTTTTTTTTTTTGAATAATCAAAGACAATCCAAAGGAATCTATTAAGCATAAGACAGGAAGTGGATGGCCCTCAGGGGAAGCGTTCTGCCTGGCTTTGACTGGGTTTGAACCCATCTATCATCACTACTGAAAAGGATGTCTTCCAAAGTTGAAGTGGCCCCAACCCCAAAGTAGTCACAAGACTGGTCTCTGTGGTGGTGGTGATGATGGAGTGTGGCACCCTGCTCCAGGGAAGGAAGGACTCAGCAGGGACACCACAGAGAGCTGCCACACTCTCATTTGCCTTCCTACAGTTTCAAGAAGTTACCAGAGGGGTTGAGGTGTGGGAGCAGCCAGCCAGTTTCTATGGCCTCCTCACCAGTAAGACCCCAGTAGGCCTCTGAGGAGGTACATTACAGCTTGTCCAGCTCTGCTAGAGACCGGAAAGACCCAAAGCAAAGGAGAAAATGACTTTCCTTGAGCCTGTTCAACAGATCCTTTACAAACCATGCATGCGCACTCACACACCTTCACACTCACACACAGCAACATTTATACACACATACACTCATACACACAGTCATATACACACTCATGCATACACACTCATACACACAGACAGACATACAGATGCTCGTATGTGCAGTCATACACACTGGCATTTATACACACACACATACACACACACACAACACACTCATATACATTTACACTCAGACACACACACATCAGCACATTGTGTTCCATGAGTACAGCCCATCTACAGCAAGAATACACAATACTAACACGAGACACTGTATTTATGTCCCAAACAAACAAGAATCTAGAGTACACTTGATGTACTGGAGATTGAACCCATGGCCTAGCAGCATGCTGGGCAAGCCTCTACCACTGCTACAAGATACCTTGTAGCAAAATAATACACACACACACACACACACACACACACACACACACACATATATATATATATATGATAGTCAACTTAGGAACTGAGCTGTATCCCAAGCACAAGACACATTTCTTATAACTCTTTTTAAAATATAATCTTATTCCTGAGCTTGGTGGTACATAGCTTTAATGCAAGTACTTGGGAGGCAGAGGTAGGCAGATCTCTATGAGTTCAAGGCCAGCATGGTCTACTGAGTGAATTCCAGGACAGCCAGAGTTACAAAGTGAGACCCTGTCTCAAAAGCAAATCAAAAAAGTAATCTTATAGATTATTATTATTATTGGTGATGGTGGCGGTGGTGTGTGTGACATATGGTATGGGGCATGTGTGGAGGTCAGAGACAACTGTGTGGAGTTGTATGAGTGTGTGTATGTTTAAGTGTGTGTGTGTGTGTGTATGTGTGTGTGTGTGAGTGTATGTGTGTGTATAAGTATGTGTGTATGAGTATGGAGTCCTTCCACCATATGGGATCCAGGGATTAAACTGAGGCTTGGCATCCAGTGATTTGCCCATTCATTGAGTTATGCTGTAGACCATGGCACACTATCTGAGTAATGTTTAGACGAGGGCATACAGTCTCTACCCTGACTATCATCTTCTCCAAGGAAGCATGATGTTGCATGGGTTCTTCTGACCCACTTTCCACCAACATCAGTCTTCTAGTGAGGTCAGAAATCTTGCTTGGTAGCCAGGCAGTGGTGGTGCACACCTCTAATCCCAGCACTCGGGAGGCAGTGGCAGGCAGATTTCTGTGAGTTCAAGACCAGTCTGGTTTACAAGAGCTAGTTCCAGGACAGCTTCCAAAGCCACAGAGAAACCCAGTCTCGAAAAAGAAAAAGAAAAAGAAAAAGAAAAAGAAAAAGAAAAAGAAAAATCAAAAGAAAAATCTTGCTTGGTGTCCTTTCAGCCCAATATAAATACTGTATACTTGCTGATAGTAAGAACATCCCAAAACTGTACTTATAAATGTCATTAAGTGCCTCATCCCTTGCTTGGCTTTAACTATCTCCTAGACTACTGATAAATGCTACAGAAATTGCATTTATTGCTACTTCTTGGCTGTAGAAATTTTCAAAGTTCTACAGCAAAATTCACCAGAGGGGCTAGAGAGATGAATCAGCAGTTAGGAGTAGCATAACTCAGCTTAGATCCCAGCACATGAGTGGGGGTGGGGAAATGACTCAAAACCACCTGGAAGGCCAGCTCCAGGGATCCTCTGCCTTCTGCTGGCCTCTTCAAGCATCCACATGCATGTTACACACACACACACACAGAGACATACACACAGACAAAAATAATAAAAAGAAATCTTTAAAAAGGAAAAGTTCCCTGTAGTGCAATGGAGCCAGGCTGAATGTGATTGTAGCAGATGTTGTCAGGCTGAGTCTCAGGATTCATGGCTATCACCTTCCAGCTGCTGGTGGGAGCTTCATAGCTCAGTGATCTGCTAAAGGAAGAACTTTTTTTAAGATTTTATTTATTTATTTATTTATTTATTACATATACAGTGTTCTGTCTGCACACCAGAAGAGGGCACCAGATCTCATTACAGATGGTTGTGAGCCACCATGTGGTTGCTGGGAATTGAACTCAGGACCTCTGAAGAGCAGCCCAGCCAGGGCTCTTAACTTCTGAGATATCTCTCCAGCCCCAAGGAAGAGCGATTAATCTAGGGATTCCGTCACCATTCCTTTCAGTGGGCTATCTGGCTGAGTCTGCCTGCCAATCACCTCTATCACATACATGTGGACACACACAAACTTTGGTGCTTTTTTTGTTTTGTTTTGGTTTGGTTTGGTTTTTTTGGTTTTGGTTTTTCAAGACAGAGTTTCTCTGTGGCTTTCCAGCCTGTCCTGG